GACAGAAGAAAGCAAGCCTTCTGAATCCCATGGGGAAGGATGATATCTCCCCACAAAGCCCATTACTATGAAAAATAAAACAGTGGAGTAATTCCGCTAGGAAAAAATTTAATCTAAGAAAAATATGATATGTTATTATATAGAAACTTGGGGAAAAAAGTCATTCTCTAATCCCCATGTTATATAGCCTGTATTCGAATGTTCTATTCTATCTCCTTTGTCTCCGAATGTCATCCTTTCCATGCCCTGACAGAGACAGTGAATAAGTGATGGATAAACAAGGATTTTTTTTGGGCAGTATAGACTTTGTTGATTGAATCTAGTTTCTCACTACTTTTACATGGTTCTGAATTTCTAAGTGTTTTCTTTGAATTCTTTCCTTTTTTTCAACTTTCCTGCACCAAGAAATTATTCTCTGTATCTGTGGTTTTTAGCAGTGAAGATTTTATAATTCTCTTTGGTTTATAATCTTCTCTACTTCTGTGTAGTATCTATACTGTAGTTCTGCAGGACTGAAATTCTTTTTGTGTTCCACCTTCCTCTCTGTCTTTCTATCAGATGTTCTGCCTCTGCAGAAGTTGTCCTGTGTCAATAAAGAAAACTATACCAAAATAGTTTGGTTGACTAGAACCTGAACAAATGCAAAAGGGAATTTTCTTATGGCTGTCGCTGTCTCTACAGTGTGAACCACCAATCTGTGCGGATAATTTATTTAAATATATTCTAAATTCCTACTGGAGTGCTCCCTAATCTTAGCCATACTTCCAGTAAGTAAGAAAAATGCAAAATACATATTTTCACACCTGCCTGTGAAGCAGTCTTTGTCTTTTTCTATAGTACACTTTAACCCTCTAAACATCCTTGCAGTAAATGAAAAAAAAGCAAGGAAGGCATTGCAGTGAGAACATGAGAGTGTGAGTGAAAATGACCAGTTTACAATCAATTCCCTCTGACACAATCAGTCACTGCTCCCATAGCACAGTATAATACCCCATTACCTACCCCCCCTTCCCCGACCCGCTGAATCCCTCACTAACCCTCTCCTTTCACAAACCTTTCCAAATTCCTTCAATTGTTCTTTACACATACCTACTGAATTCCTTCCCGCCACCCTTTTACAGTTTGTATATTCACTCACTGCCTTATCATATCAAAAGTGCAAAAATCCTAAAAGCACTAGAACTCCTACGACGAAATAAACAACCCCGAGAGAACTCAGAACTTTAATATTAGAAAACCTCTTGGGAATGACAAAACAATTAAACCAAATTTTAAAACCTATTATATAAACCTGGGAGAAAAAGATCCCTTGTCTCAAAACGCAGCACGGTGGGAGTCCTCTGTGTGAAAGCGGTAAAGAGATAAGTAAATTTAAACAACTGAGGAGCTCTCGGAATGGCCCCGGGGCTCTCAGACGCTTCTGAGATTTTTCGGGATCAATCAACATTTTTAAGCAGTATGTTTGTTATATGTAGCGTGTGTATAAGTGTGTGCACCTCATCAAGATAATTTCTAAGTAAAGTGTGTTGTTTGAGTGGTAAGAAGTTACTAACAAA